GGGGACACCGACGGGCGGTCTGGAGAAAGGCCGGGGCTGGCAGCTGACTCGTCCCCTCCGTTCCCCGGAGCCTCCTCTCCCGAGGCGAGCAGCCCGCGGGACGCCCCCGGTGACGGCTCCTCACCCCGGGCCACCCTCCCACCGCAGCCAGCGGCGCTTCTCCCGGGCAGCGGTTCTCTGTCCCAGACTCGACCATAGCAACGCATTTGCGTTAATAACCAAGACTTGCTCTTGCAGCAGTGTCCTCCACCTAGCTTAGTCTGGCATGCCAGCTGAACCCCTCCTGAAACGGGCAAGTGAAGTACCGCAGCACCCCACGCCTCAGATCTGCCTCCGCCCTGGGGTCAAACCCCTGCCTGCCTGCCGCTGCCGGGGGACTGTTGCCTCCCCCCTTCCCTTTTGCCAGCAGGCCAGGGCAGGGCCCTATCCTTCCTTTTCCTACACGTTAGCTCTAGCGGCTCTCCCTCGAGGGTCAGGACAGCACCCATAGAGAGGCAGGTAGAGGGAGGCAGCCCTCCATTTTGTCAGCGTACACCCCCCACGTATCGCCACCCCGCTTCTTCATTGCTGAGCTGGTTTTCGTTTTTCTGCAGGATCACCCATTAACCGGAGCTGCTTTTTCCACCCTGCCTCAGAACCTGCTGCAGAATTCATTCTTTACCTTGGAAACACTCTTCATTCTCATGGCACATTGTACTAAATCCTAACTGAGGCATGACTGAATTAACGAGCTTGAAGATAGCTTGAGGTATTTACTGCAGCAGTCACCTTCAGCGGAGATACCAAACTCCCATTTCGCTCTTTTGATGCCTTTGGTGCTTAGCAGTTGGTGTCAGTCCATCTTGTCCATCTGTCCCCCTCCAGAGGGAGATCTGCATCTCTCGGATGGTATGTAACAGCCAGTAACCAGAGCAGCTGGTGCAGTGCGCTCCCCACCCTGTTGCTCCAAACTGGTGGGTTCCTCACCCCCTCTGAGCTCCATCCGCCAGCCTTGCCGCTACCACACGTGAGCTCCAGAAACCCACTCCGGCTACAAGTGTAATAAACGTCTTTTGCTGCTACACAAAACAAAGCTGATCAATCTGTTCCAGACCAAGCAGTTTTCGTAATAGAGTGGGAATATATGTTTAATTATGCCAGAGAACAGTGAAAACATATGGTTAATGCATGTTACTCAGCCAGTAATGTCACAGGAACATAGGCTTGTAACTACAGCAACTTTAGTCTGCCTTGGCTCAATAACATCATACAGTTCAATGCCAGCGACAGCTTTCCTTTCTTTATCACCATGAAGTATTTGAAAAGCCCCCCATGCCCCCCGCCCCATTTGAAACTCAGAAGCTGAAAGCAGTTCAGAGTCATGACATAATGATCTTAAAACTTTTAATCGGCTTAAAAATGTAAGACATACACTTAGTTTACACAGTGTACAAAAATATTTACAAATATTTCTATTAAAGCATAGAAACAGCTGTAAGGAAAAACATTGCACATAAGCATACCCATATACATAGGAAAACATTGTACCTTAGGAAAGAAAGTGCCTTGTGCATTTAAAAATCCATCTGTGAATTCAAAATTAGTAATTCTAAGTGATTATAGTAATTCTGAAGTCACAATGAAATTTCTTTGAGTGGAATGTATGATTAACCGGAAGTGTTTAAGAGATTAACACAATGCCACAGGAATCCAAAGCCACACATCCTGCTTTGCCACCCTCTGTGGACCCAGAAGGACCACCGCGTGACTTGCATCTCTCACGTTTCCTTTCCTGGAGTTCAGCAGCAATGTTTGTAAGAACCCCGACATAACTGTTCAGTTAACAGCCCTGGAGCTTCGGTATGCATTCAAGCCAGAAGGTAATGCTTTAAGGAAGTTGTGGTTAATTTCTACATAAAGTGTTTACCTGCATGTAACAGCAGCTTGGGCCTGTTTGCTACATGGAAGTGCTCAGGAGTTCTGGGTTTGGGTGTCTTTTTAAAGAAGGAAAGCAGTCTTTATAGTAGACTTACCTTTGGAGGGGCTTGGTTCTTTTCACATGGGC